AGGGCGGCGAGCCCCGGCTGGGGCTCGGCTCTCCCCCCGGCGGCCGGGGCGAGGGCGTGGGGGGGGGGCGGCCAGAGCGCGGGGGGAGGGCGGCGAGCCCTGCTGTGGCCCCGCTCTCCCCGGCGGCCGGAGCGCCGCGCCGCCCCCCTCCAGGTGCCGCCCCAAGCACCAGCTTGGGTGCCTGGTGCCTGGAGCCGGCCCTGCCAACCGGTATTTTATATCTCCATGTGTTTTTAACAAGTCCAAGAATGTTCCAACTTCTAATGAGCAGAATCTTTGAGCCAAATTATCTCCCTTTTCCAGGCCATTTGTGCCACTCTGGAAACAAAATGGGGCCTGAATCTGTCCGTATATGGCCAGTTGTAAATGATCCTTGCATAGGGGAATCAGGGAACTGTAATTAGCTCCCTGATGTCCCTGCTGATGCAGATCTTAGCCACAGGAGAAAATCTAACCTTTTGAGAAGGCCAAGAAGTCTCTGAGAACTGTACCGTGCTCAATAACTGGGGCAGAAGTGGGTAGCTGGCCTCTCAGGGAGAGCAAAGGTAGATTAATATTAGCTGCTTATACAATATTAAATATATTTCTATAGTTGAAAAATATATTGGTCCTGACTGAATCATAGGAAACTAGAGCTGCAACAAATCCCACCATCTCCAAGAACAAATGCAGTCCTACCTCTATATCATGGCTGAGCTTCTTAACTATGCTTGTAATAGTCTGTATGTGGTTTTCCAGTAGTTGTCGTGCTGTTGTCTCCCCCTGTTGATGGCCCTTACTTCCTTGAAGATAAGAAACAATGTCATCTTTGATTCGAAAGGCCTGATCTAGGAGAACAGCTGTGGTCCTCTCCTGACTGGACAACCGGTTTTCTAGAAGATTCACTCTGTTTCCAGGAATCATGGGAATTTCAGGAAGGAAAGCTTGGCCTCTGTCCAGAAAAACACAGTACAGGGTAATGTCTGAATGAGGCTGAAGACTGGCCAGTGTACATTAGGTTTGAAATATGCTGCATGTTACACTTTCATATTACAATAGTTACAGTAAGGTCAAAATTTGACATCAAGAGTACTGGAATAATAACAGTTTCTCTTTTTCTTGCCCTGGTTCTGTATTATACAAGTAGGGTGACCAGATGTCCCAATTTTATAGGGACAGTCCTGATATTCAGGGCTTTTTCTTATATAGGTGCCTATTACCCCCTACCTCCGTCCCGATTTTTCACACTTGCTATCTGGTCACCCTATATACAAGCTCCATGATAATAATCATTCATGGAAATCCGCCTAGATGATGGAGTAATGTGACTAGCTGATAAACCTTATAAACAAGCAGATTAATCTATCAGTAGGGCCCTACCAAATTCACGGCCATGAAAAACACGTCACGGACTCTGAAATCTGGCCTCCCCCTGTGAAATCTAGTCTTTTGTGCGCTTTTACCCTATACTATACAGATTTCACAGGGGAGATTAGCGTTTCTCAAACTGGGGGTCCTGACCCTAAAGGGAGTTGCAGGGGGATCGCAAGGTTATCTTAAAGGAGTCACGGTATTGCCATCCTTACTTCTGCACTGCCTTCAGAGCTGGGCAGCCAGAGAGCGGAGGCTGTTGGCCAGGCACCCAGCTCTGAAGGCAGCGCTCCACCAGCAGCAGCACAGAAGTAAGGGTGGCAATACTATACCATGCCACCCTT